TTTAGAAGGGCGTTGGTAAGAGATGGGCGTTTATTAGAGGGTGTTTATTAGAGTGGACATTAATTTGGGACATCGTTTATCAGAGAGACATTTATTCAGGTGAACATTTTAGAAGGGGCGTTGATTAGAGAAGGGCGTTTAATAGAGGGTGCTTTTTAGAGTAGGAATTAATTGAGGACGTTGTTTATCAGAGAGGCATTTATTCAGGTGGACATTTAAGAAGGAGCGTTGATAAGAGAAGGGCGTTTATTAGAAGGAGGCGTATCTCTACACTTTTGTGTGGAAAGAAAAGGCTAGGCGATTGTCAGAGAAAACACGTTATGGCTGTGGACAAAGTGATACGTGTATCATGTTTTCTGTGAGTATTTAATGTGGATACATTGTAGTGCGGATGAAAAAAGAGAAAAATCAAGCACACAGAATTTGACCAAACTTTGGTTTTTTTGGCTTACTTCAACATGGATGAACAATTGACATTATTGTCTGGTTTTTAAGGAGCTCGGGGATATAGAATAATAAAAGGGACTAGGAAATAAACAGCAATGCTTCACCTGGTAGATATCTGTTAATCGAACACACAAAAGTATTTCATTTGGTCGTTGAGAAGTAATGGGCTAAAAACAACACTGAAAAATAAATAGATGGATGGCAAATTTAGAATTTTTTATTGTTCCTGTCTTTTTTACATATGCGCTATGGATTTTCGCGTCAATGGAAGGAAAGATATCTAGCTGTACATAGTCACGACATTCAGGGGTGGATCCAGATCAAATTTGAAGGTGGGGCAGTTGGTAATGGGAGCGCTAAAAAATTTTTGACGAGTGTACGCTGTATACATTTTGTAAGGAAATTGTTTCCAATAATTGTTGTTTACTTTCAGGAAATCCTTGATTTAAATTAACCTAAAAGTCTCAGAAACTTTAACACCTGATTCTCATTCTTCTAAAGAGGCGCACAATTTCCAAAAAAGGGGCGCCAGAATTTTTTCAACTCGGTGAGGGAGGGGCAACTGCTCCTAGTTGCCCCCTCCTTAAACCCGCCACTGACGACATCATGACTATATTGAAACGGCGACTCTGGAACTTGAACTTAACTTGAAATCATTGCCCGTCTTTACAGATAATCAGGGAATACCAATGAGCTATCTTGTTTCCACGAAGAATTCCTTGTGTATGGCCCAAATAGACAGGGAAATAACCGTAACTAACTAACCACAGGTGTTGTCAAAGTTCTTCACAATACAAGTCAAGAAGGACAATTAAGTACATAAAGTCCTATTAAAATTATCATTTATTGCTAAATTTTCGTCATTCATACTTGTAGCTCTAGCTCTTGATTTGCTCAGTAAGATTCAATTTTCAACTCATCTGTATGAGCATAGTAATACTCTTTAAGACCAATTAATACTATCAATTTAGGTTGGAAAAAACGACAAAAGATCCCTTCTTTTAGTTTGAGTACCACGACAGTCCCTTCCTAAGGTTTTGATAGTCAATTGCATGCTAAGTTAAATGTCGGATGGCAAAGGATGAGTTGGCATTGTTCATTTTCAATAAGATATCCATATAAGGACATGGGGTAATTAGACGTCACGTGACAAATTATAGCTCATTTTGCTATATCTATTATAGCTCAACGTATTTCTAACAAAAAAGACAAACTATCCTTCATATTCCACTCCTAAGACCAGGGCTTTTTGTTAAAACGTCATTCCAGCTATGTTTCTCCTTTGTAGAGGATAAGCAGGAACTTCTCCTGATTTAACCCCCATTTTACCCCAAACAGCGGCAAATCGCCATTTACCAGTACAATTCAATATCCCCAGTTGATAAAGAATTCGAAACTGGCAATAAAAGTTTCCCCATCTCAAAGTGGTACTCCCCTCCATTTCCGTCTGGTCAAATACATCCGTGTCTAACCAAGATTGTGCCCGGGCCTTGCTTGATTCTTGTGATGATACAACAGATGATTCTTTTTGTGAATTTGAGCTTTGAAGTGACTTTTTAAAAAAGTGACTTTTAATTTTTTCTGACCGTGAAATTAAATTTTGCCTTGTCACGTGACCGGAAGTAAAATTTGAAATGGTACCTGGCAGATTTGAATTCTCTTGCATACTGGCATCATGATACAGTTTAGAGAACCTTGACAACACCTGCGGTTAGTTAGCTACGGTTATTTCCCTGTCTCAAAGGGACGTTTTTGGGACACGGAAAAAGGGAAATTACCTTTCACTTAAATTACGTCACCATCAAACTTTTGAATCATGCTTACATCTGAGGAAATAATCCGTTAATCGATTAAAGGAGAGTGCACCTGAGTAACATAAAAGTAGAGCCCTTTAAAAATAGTTTGCAGAGAATCAGTTTGTTTTGTTACTATTTGAATGGCGATATAGAGGCCATTTGTTGAGGAATTTACTGTAAATTATTTTGGTATTATTTTGACAAAATTTACTTTATTTGATACATTTTTCCACACCATGAAACTTTTGCACGACTTCCCATATTTATTTTCAATACTTTTTTAATTTGGTAAAGAATGTCTTATAATGATTAAATTTGCTGCCTTTATCACAATTAAGATTACGGTAAACCTTTTTTTACGGTGGCCCATAGCTGCCACTCTCTTATTAAACTGATTCGCATACAAACAAAACAGCTTCGTATTGAAACAAACTGATTCACGCTGACAAGAAAACTGCTCACACATAATTCAAGCGAGTCGCACAGAAAGAAATCTTATTCGCACAAAATTAAAGCGAGTCGCACATAAAGAAGCTCGTTTGTAATAGTTTACTTTTTGTGTTTCGTTATGCAAACCGTTATTGCATTTGTTGCTTTTCCGTAAAACCTTTAGGGAAATTTGACAAAAGGCACTCTTTTACCTAAGGAGGCACTGATTTGAATTCTCGAAAATAAATCTTATCAGTTTCATGAAATGAAAAAAATTATGGAAAAAGAATCAGTTTCTCACGAAGTCATTTGTATGTAAAACTTGATATTTGTGTGTACACTCGAAGTATAAACTCATGTTATAGTGTACATTTATACACTTGAATTTTTGCTCTTGCCTACCCGAGATCTCGTAGGAAACTGTCGTACACTGCAGTCCGGGTAACTAGCTAAGTTTGGACTTCTAGCCTGTCTGCATGTTTCTGTGATCGAATTGAACAATAGTCCTAATAGTCCAAAAATACGCGCATGTTATTCTATTTCAATGATGAGAAAGTAGGTCTTGACTCTGAAATTCCCGCAGTTTGGGCAAAACCTCATCGCTGAACAGAAATTCATTCAATTAAAAATAAACCTACCCTTTTCCAACGTGTGACCCATTCTTCTTTAAGAGCGACCTCTTTTCTAATTGTGCGACTCATTCTTTCTATAGTTTCAAGGAGAGGAGAAATTTGAAAAATCTGAGACACACTTTGGTGGCTAGGAATCTGCGCTTTCTGCTGATATAAGTCATCCACATCTCTCAATTTTCTTTAAAGTTTTCCTCTTGTTGATATGATTATATATAAAATTACACATGCATGTTAATAGTTACACAAGTAAAAAAAACGCTGCAAAGAATGATCTGGAAGCATTAGAATTCTATTTTTTTCATGGTGCCACCCCAGGTAGCCACTATTTTATGTGCTTATCTGGAAATCTAGCGTTATATGACTGGAACGTCAAAAAGGGCTTGACAATTTCTTCAAAATTAATCAAGCAGACAGGATCAAGGATTAATTTAAGGTGCAGTGATAACCAATTTGTGCAGTGATGAATCGAAAATGTGCAGTGATGAATTGAAAAATGTGCAGTGATGAATTACTTCACTTTTGAAATACTCCAAATTTTACTCATTTGGATGTTTTCAGAATAAAGATAAATGAATACAAACTATAATCAAGAGTCAAATAAGATAATAGAATCAACCTGCGTGTGAAACTCAACTAAAACTAGCTTTAACAATAAAAATAATATACAGTTAATCACAAACCCACTTCATAATGTAAAAAGTGTTTTTAAGAAAATAGAAATAATACTGGAAAAGAAATAGATAAAGAGAATAGTGCAATAAATTCAGTTATTGCCAAGATTCCAAGGAATAAGCCGAGGTCTGTGAGGTCTTATAAAGTAATTATGTAAATTTTAAATCTGGAATTGATCAAATTTAATAAAAGCATGCCTTGAAAAAAAACAAAATATTTAAAATGATTGCAAGAAAATAACTGCTAGAAATATTCTGAAATATATTTTGAGATAATCCAAGGGGTGTGGTCATAAAATTTTCTGGTAAGCTTCCTCTATCGGATAATCCTAGGGCCTCCGACAACTTTCGATTTCTTGCATTGCATGGCCAAAAAGACCCAGTGTCACTACCACCATCAAATGGTGGCCTGCTTCTCTTCTTTTGTATGAAATACAATACCACCATTTCCACCATTCACAAATAAATACTATATTGACTCCATACGGTGGAAATTAAGAAAAAATTACCTGTTATTAGGTTTGCTACTCTGTTTTCTTTTGGCCAGGTTTGATCTGTTCTGGTAAGATATACACATAATAAGTGGTAGCTGTAGTTAGGCCGAATTACACTGAAAATATCCCTGAAAACAATGTAAACATTGTTGGTCCGTCCAAAAAAGGTCCAGTCAAAACCTAGCCACACCCTTTGCCACACCCTATTGGCCCCGAAAATCTGTGTTTTACGGTGTTTTGTGCAGTGATGAAAATTCCTTTAATTACTGCCTGGACAGGATACTTGGGACTGTCTACGGGCCTGGATCCTAAGCAAATAAGCTTGGGACATTGATCTTAAATACGCCAGAAAGGTGGCTTTGAATTGGAAATTATAGTGGGTAAAGGGGAGGGTGGCTCAGTAAAAAAATTAACCTTTTCTGTGCGTCGTTATTAATTTGTGCGTCGTTATTATTAATGTATCTTGAATTTGCTAGTTTGTTACCGATTGTTAACATAACATTTTGTAAAATTGATGATTTTACTTCATAGACATAACCCCCAAAGCTCCCAGCAGCAGCAACAGAAACAGTAGCAACAACAACAACAAAAATAACAACTAGAGAAAGAAGAAGTGAGAAATTGCTTCAGTCTCCTGCTTCAACCAGAAAAGCCAACACGGATCTGGTTTGCAGTGGAAGGCTCTCCAAGAACTGGCACAAATGGCGAGTAAGGAAAAGAAATGGAAGCTTCTTTTAAAAACGATTGCCCCCCATCTAACATCTACAGACATCAATAGTATTATTTTTCTCCAAGGCATTCCAGGTAAGCATTTAGGCAAATTAGAAGATCTCGTCCTCGTGTAATTACATCATCTCCTTTGTGCGGATGATTTGACATTGTTTGTCAAACTCATCGAATGGTTTACTTTAGAAAATATCCTATCCAAATTAGATAAATTTGGTAAAACTTGGCAACTCAAGGCTAATGTTGAAAAATGTAAAATAATGGTTTTCAACCCACAAGATTCCCTAATAAGAACCTTAACTTCACTTCAAAACTAAGGGCAAAGGTAATGAGATCCAAGTGCGCCGGAAGCACAGGGGCAGTTGCCCCTCTGCCCTGACTCTATGGGGGCAGCGGGGGCAGCATTGTGCCCTTGTGAAAATGACACTGTGTTTATGCGAATGGAATAGTGAGATAAAATATTAGTGCGGTTAGGAACAAAACGAAAGCAATTAAAACATTGGGTGCATTTGTGTGCAATAATGCTATGTCTTTCGGCAACACTTTAAAATGTAGGGAATTACTGTAGAATAAGGTGATTGGCGTAACAGAGGCTTCTGGGGTCCTAAGGAAAAACTGAGATTGGGCCCCTTTTAGCGTACTCTAGTTGAGCATGTCAAACACTAATGCAATACGCAACACTAATCCAAGTTAACTAGTAGAAGCTTCAAGTGAAGTAATCTAAAAGCTTTTAAAAATAAGGTGAACTTTAGGAAAGTCATCATAATTTATATGAAAGAAGTTGCCTTCCCATAAAGAAAGTAACAAAGATGAAAACCCTTTGATCAATCATGACTTCAATTTAATGCCATAAAGAATGCCTGCCATAGCTCACAAATTATTGCAATTGTACAAGTAATTTGCACTTTCATCTGTACCTGCAGAACATACTTTTGGCACAATGCAGTGTGATACGACATGGTAGCCAACAGGACATGGGGGACGGGCAAGCCTAATGCCAAATTTGAACATGATGTGCCATTTTGGTTGAAAAATTTGAACCCATTATTCTGCGCATGTATGAAAAAATATGACCCATAATTCTGCAAACATGATAAAAACTATACCCATAATTCCGCAAATCAAATAAATTTTTAAAGCACAACAGAATCATCAAACAAATTTTGCATTTCCTTTGCCAAAAATCTCAATATTGCACAGATTTGATTTCTAACTGGACATTCACTTTGTTAATGCTCAATCTCCCTCCTAATAATTTTGCAATATTTTATGAAAATGGTACCCATTGTTCTGCACATATTTCCGCACTTTTCACCGATAATTCCGCACTTTTTAGAAAAAGGTACCCCTAAAACATTGCATGTCTCCCTACCTTCAAACATCTCAAGGTATCCCTGCCTTCCCGCCCAGCAAAGTCCTAATCAACAGAATGGGAAGTTTCAGTCTGGCCTTTTAGATTAAAAGTCTTATTGGTACCAAAGTATTATGTTATATCAATTTTTGTTATAATTCTAATATTAGTCATTGAAAATGTGCCCTTTTTGAGTAGCTGCCCCTGCCGCCTCAAAGTTCTCCCAGGGCCCCTGATGAGATTGAACAACAGTTTCGCTAAAAATTCAAATTAAACACAAAAATTCATTACATATGATTTAGCATCAAAAAATATAAATCTACTGCTAAATTTAAGATGGTTAAGTAACTGGAAATAGATTTTTAATACATATTAATTTCATAACAGTCTCTATTACAAAACAAAAACATACGCCCAGTATGGATTCCAAAGCAGCTGCACTCCAGAGAATTTTTTGCAAAATTACGAGTGTACTCTTGCACGCTCAAATATGGATGTTGTTTTCCAAATATGGCAAAATGACTTTTATTCTAAATTTCCTGGCAACTTGGATTGGCAAAAGTGTTTGATCCTTTTGAAACCTTTGCTTACAAAAAGTTTCAGACCTGTTTTCATTGTCTTGTTTGAAAATGAAAACATGATGATACAAAATTTGTCTGCTTTCATAGCAGGGTCAAAACTGTGCTGGATGACAGAGAAAAATTGTCTAGGCAGTGGCGGATCCAGCCAAAAGTCTGAGCGGAGGGAGCAGAATATATTTTAATTTTTTTAAACTACACATCAGAATACTCTTGCAGCCATGCTATTGCATTGCATGGTTTAAAACGTTTAATTTTTTTTATTAGCCTGAATTCTAGATAAAAAACTAAAAGTATTGGGTCAAATGTGCACATTTACCACAAATGTACTCTTGCACTCCTGCCTAATAGCTTGTGCACTCCCCCCAAAATCTCTTCAAAGACTACCATGAAATACAGACCGGTTTAGGACAAGTGGAAAAAACTCATTAGAGCTATCTTGCCACTTGCCTCATTTACTATGATGGATGAAAGTATTAAACAAATCTGAGGTGATTCATTTTGTACCTGCCCCTCATTTATCTGGAATCGCCCTAATGTGATGATAAGATGCCCAAGTTTGTATAATGGGTCAATTAAATTATCCACTTTGCTCTCAGATTTAGTCAGCGAATTTTGAGTGCATTCAATTGACACTAGAAAACTTTTACAGTCAATTATTTAATTTGCTGTGCCCATAACACCCGGGCTAAACTATGCTTTATTGTATTAAGGATGAGGAACATTTGCTAATTGAGTGTAGTGCATATCAAAATTTATAGCAAAAATTTTCAAATTGTGACATCTTGAAACTCTTTAACAATCCAAAGGACTAAAATAAAACTTTTTAACTGCTAAATGCAAATGAAAACCCAAGCAGCATTTGATCTATTCCAAAGTATCTAAAGAAGCTTTGAGTTTACAAAAGATAGGTAGCCTAAGGGAAGTTGATGACACTTTTAAATTTCCATTTACAATATCCCAGCAAAATTGATAAGACTTTCTATAATTGTCTCCCCCAATTGTTTGAGTTGACATTAGGGTTATTAATGTCATAAAGATATCCCTACTGCCTTTTTGAAATCCTAAAGGTATGGTTTTTCAAAGTTTCAAACTCTGGCTCTAATACCGAATTCTAAGAGGTGGAAACAAAATGTTCGCAAACTTGGAGCTCCTATATTTCTTGATATGATTTTGATAGTGAACTTTGGGACCAGTATCAGAATAAGATTACAGAATAATTTATTCTTCAATGTTTGGCCCAGAATGGCAGCCTAAAATTGCTGGGAGCAGTATCAGAAAAGAAGATTACAAAATGATTCATTCTTCAATGTTTGGCCCAAAATGGCAGCCTAAAATTGCTGGGAGCAGTATCAGAAAAAGATTACAAAATAATCAATTTTTCAATGTTGGCCCAAAATGGCAGCCTAAAATTGCTAAAAATTCGTTTCCTGAAGTAAAAAGTTCTAATTTGAAAGGCCAGGTTGAAACTCAGACAATCTTAATGTAGCAAAGATCATTTTTTGACATCTTTGTAAAGTAGCCTTTTATGTTTTTGAGCAAATCAGAAGGTAGAAATTATTATTCCAGAAATTATGAAGCTCTTAAAATGGGTTTGAAAAATGTGGTCCCTGCTTGAGTCCCCAGAAAAGAAGGATGGAATTTACTTTGATGGTTGAAATTCTTTTCACACACACATGATGTTCATTTGGAATTTTTATCACTATTGTTCGATAGAATTAGTAAAAGAAATCACGGAAATTAGAATTTTAGGGAATTGAAAAGTGATGAAATCAGCGAGTGTTAACAATTGAGAAATATCATAATTTCTTACCGAACATCACCAAACATAACAAACATAATTTCTTAGTACAGAACATCACCAAAACCCAAATATGTAATTATCAAAGGATTAAAAATAAAAGACAAGTCAATTTGAGAAATAGGCCTCTCAAAAATTTGTTATTTGTCTTTCACAAGTAGGGCTAAATTCAAGACAGATTTACCAACAAATTGGCACAATTTTATTGTTTTTGGTCAAGGTTTCTACTTATCTTTTTGAGAGCTTAACATATTGTTTCGAAGAATTTCCTGAAAGCAGTTTGGAACTACTTTATGGGTAGCATTTTGTGTTCATCATATCTCAACGGATTGCAGTACAGTGGAACCCCGCCTTACGGCCACTTCGTTAATACGGCCGCCTCGTTATTACGGCCACATTTGTTTGGCCCGGAAAAACGGCCTTACAAAGTCTCTTAAAAACCCTGTTAATGCGGCCTACCCTTAATACGGCCAGCGACCACATTTTGCGACCCCAAACAGCCGGATTCTTTATAATTCTACCCCGTTAATTTGTATCGTGAGGCAATATCTTGCCTTGAAGATGTATGATGTTTCCTCGAGTCAAAAGGAAACAATGACACAGCAGACGCTCTTTCAGGTGCGATTGCCCGTTGCCCACACTCAGAGTGATTGGCTGGAACGCAGAACGAACCAGTCAAAAGTCACCGATTTTTTGCAAAATCATGAACATGATTTGGTGATTAAGGCCCAAGTACCCAGGTCTTCCGTTTCGTTTAGTTTGCGGACTCGTTATTCAATAATTTTTTTATAACTTTATCTACATTTCCAGATGTTTATTTAAGAGAAAAGTTCGTTAGGATGTTATTATTAATTTCTACACATTAAACTCCAAAATTTGACCTATCCTCGTTAATACGGCCACCCCGTTAATACGGCCAATTTTTGGTGGCCCTTTGGTGGCCGTATTAACGGGGTTCCACTGCACACAACATTTGGATTGGAGTAGCTCACATGAAAATGCAACTTTTATATCATTCAATTTTTCAGTTTAGCTTTCATTCCCCTGAGAATGATTTAAGCTGATTCGCATTTTTCTTTTATCTTTAATGTAGATGGAATTGCTGCAAAATTAGACAGAGATGGCTTGCAATTTCTGAAGGCTCTTAATCAAATGGGTTACATTAAACAAGACAATCCTGGGTTGTTAGAAGAAATACTCAATGACATTCCACGAAAGGACTTGATCCCGTTGTTACAAAAGTATACTCAAGAAGAAGAAAAGATATCAAACATAAATGTACCAGGTAGCTAAATTTATATTTGGTAGGTTCAATTATTACTGATACTACCAAAACTCTTTGGCAGATTACACCAAGAATTTTTATCAACGGATTACATCCACAGTAATATAGGGCTTGTATTTTTCTGTTGAAGAATTCAAATGGTTTGTGCTTTTAGTTGAAAATTAAATGTGTTTTTCAGCTTTAAAAGTGCGGCTTAAAAGTAAAGTTGAGGTAATGTAGAATTTTTTCAGATGTTTCTGATTTTAGGGAATTTCTTTTCAGAAATTTCTAGTTTTGAGGGATGCTTTTGAAAAACCTGTGGACTTATGAGTATAACTATTTACAAGCTGTTCAGCCAGTCATTCATCAGTGTTATCCTCATAAATGGTCCTATATTGGGTGACTTAATCAAGTTCTTACTGAGGTGTGATGTCATATGGAATGACCCTCATATGTTATAGTTAATTAAAAGGCCTCTCCAGCCAAAAAAAAAAATTTTATTGACTAAAAAGTTAGCATCTAGTGCATGTATTATGGCAAAGTCGTTGTTTTTGCAAAATTCCAATTAGTTTAGAAGTTATAAGGCTTTAAAGTTGCACCTTTCCGAGAAAAAAACGACAAAAGCCGAATCAGTTTTATGACATTCTGACGTCACAATGTGCGGCTCTCGTTCGCCATGAATTTCGTATATCTTCCACCGAATCGTGAAGGAGTCATGGTCACGCGTTGATAACGGCATCTAAATCTAGAGCAGGAGCTTTTTAGGATCGAAAATATAAAATGTTTACAATCATTCTAAGTTTGCGGGTCGGAATGTGTCCATGCTGTGTCACGACTTTGTTTTGATCACCTGTGTAGGCCCACAAAGCTACGGCTTCCTGTTCTAAATCGAAATTGACACTTCATTCAGTTGTTCTCCAGAAACGATGAACAACTAAAGGCTTCAGAATTGACATTTGAAATGCTCAAACTCAAAGCCGGTGGAACAGAACGGAGAGTACCATCACTTGCAGTGTTCAATTTGCGAATCGCCGTCGTTCGATTCGGTTTGAGGCGAGACTAACGAAATACACTGTGACGTCAAAATTGCGTCACAGTGTCACCAAACCGAAAATTTTTTGTCGGTTAATTCAATTCAATTATCGAAATGCAAGAGCTTATATCTCACAAACTGTAAAAAAAATCGAAAAACAAATAACGAATTCGTGATCAGCAGGTTCAACTCCTTTAGATTAGGCAATAAAATGCAAGTGCAAAATTTGGCTGGAGAGGCCCTTTAAGTTTCAGTTAATAAAGAACATATGATTTGAATTTCTTTTTTTTAAAATTTAGCCCTGCTTTTCTACTAAGACGAAACTGGTTCGGTGACAGGCAGGCTTGATGAACAGTTAAATTTGTTCGACATCCAATTTTCTACAATCATTAACAGTTTCGCTACACTGCTTCTCTACATCGCATTTAGGAAAATTTTAAGGTAGAATGAAAATCGGATCAAAGAAACTCAATTAATAACTCTTTAAAACGCATACATTTATATTTTAAAGCTCCATAACTTCATATATACCGTAAATCCCCCTGGGGGCTTATTTATTCTTGATATTTTTGGATAGGTGCTTATTCGAAGGGGGGGGGCTTATACGAGGGGGGGCTTGTAAAATTATTGTAGACATTAAGAAGACATTATTAAAAGAACTCGTTTATTTGAGTAGAAATCTCTTTATGAGCATTTAATTAATTACTACCAAAAGTATGAATTCAATAAAATGCTATAGGCAACCTCAGATGGAAAAAATCATCAAATTGAGGGGTTCAATTTGAGAATTTACGGTAGCAATGGGGGCTTATTCGAGGGGGGGGCTTATTGACAATTTGTAGTTCTAGGGTGGAGGCTTATTCGAGGGGGGGGGGCTTATTCGAGGGGGGGAGGGGCAATTCGAGGATTTTCGGTACATACATTTTTTCAATGTGAATACCGGTAGTTTCAGTTGAAAATCTGACTATTATCTCATTATTATTTTCTTAAAATTTCATTTTTGCCAATGACGAGCTAATTTGCTAATAGTTCCAGTCCTTTGGCACTAATTTTTCGCTGAACGATTTCTGAGTATTTGAAAAAGTATAGTATAAGGGTTAAATAAGTATGGGATTATCATATAGTCTTAAGTTAAATAGAGATGATTAGGAATAGAACAAAGATGAAATTGGTTATGATGCTCAAGAAATGAGAACATTATAACATCAACTGGTTTATTTCCATCAATATTTTTAGGGTTGCATTGACATGATTTGATATTTAAATTGGAAGATGCGATAATAAGTATTACGTGAATATATTCTCAGTGTAAATATAAACGCCGTGGCATTAAAAGAGAGATAGCTATAAATATGTAGGATCGCTTTTTATCTGTGTTATTCTTATTCTCACAGTGACCAATCCTGCAAGCTATCGTTTGGAGAAGCCTTCGGATTTCAAATCAATACCAGGACAAAAGAAAAAGAAGCTACCGTTTGAAATGGAAAGAATACCACGAGGTCTGTGCATAATAATATCAAACGAGAATTTCGAAGACGTTCAGGAGGATACACAGGAGGACGGAAGAGTTGAAAAAGCCGATCTAGAAGGAGGCAAAAAAAGTCCTGTTGAAAACACATGTGCTTCACCCTCTCCTGAAAATGCCATCCTTTTGTCGACAATGACAACAGAAGCTGGATCATCGGGAACATCTTTAAATAAACCTTCTGACGATCCGAAGGAAAGCAAAAAGCGCAAAGGCACGGGCTATGACGAGAAATTGCTTGCAGATACATTTAAGTGGCTGCATTTTGATGTAAGAGTACATCGCGATTTAAAAGGTTCTGAAATGAAAGCAACATTAGAAGAAATTGCAAACTTGGATCATTCCCAATATGATGCTTTTGTCTGCTGCATTTTGAGCCATGGTAATGAAGATGGTGTTGACGGTACGGACTGGGTGCTTCTTTCTTTTCACGAGATTCGCAGATTGTTCAGCGGAAATCGATGTCGTGACCTGCACTCGAAACCAAAGCTATTTATCATTCAAGCTTGCAGAGGAAAAGATATCGATCATGGAGTAATGAAGACTGGACATTATGGAACTTGGAAAACATCCCAAACCGAGCCAAAACATGGCGAAAGGACCATCTTTTTAGATGCTGACCTTGCAGGTATGTTATCTTTTTTCAGAATGAAGCTCTCTCGTTGCAGGGTAATCAACTAAAAATCTCATTAAATCCAATTCCCCTTTAGAATTCTGTCGTTAGTATTTTTTTACTTCAGTGGCAATATGAGGTGTATATGTAAATTTTCTCTTCAAAAAATTGAACCCGAAAACAATTATTTGAAAATGTTTTTGAATTGAGAAATGATCGATTTTGGCCAATCGAAATTGAGAACTAGCCGAACAGAATCTGTAATAGAAGAACAGAATGTGCTATAAGATAAGGTTTTGTTGCTGAGAAAATTTGTAAAAGTTGCCTGCAAATATTTCGAAAAAGTTCCTAAATTAATTTCATTTTAGCTGTATAGGCGTCATTCTGTATCTTTTCATTGATACTAGATAGAGAGCTGTAGCTTACTAGTCACAGAAAACAACGTTGTGACTTTTGATCTTCCAATGTGTACCTTATGTGGACAAGTGCTTGAAAAGGAGACAGATTTTTTAAGGGCAATGTGTTAAGTTTCTACAATAGAAGGTATAGTAGGTAATATGGAATATTGGCTATTTGTAAATAAACGTTGATTTGGCTCCATCCTTCCTAGGAACAGCAGCATCAAATGAGGCCTCAAAGAATATTGCGGAGCATAAGGGAAGTGCAGGTATAATGGGAAATCACTTGAAAGCCAGCTTACCGTTGTCTTTATCCATAACTTTGTCTTTATCTTTAACGCAAATCTTCGAATTAGCCCCCCTGGGGTCTTTTCAGATGGGGGGTTATTCGAAGGGGGGAGGGGGGGGGCTTATAAAATTATAGTAGATATCAAGAAGAAGCTATTAAAAGACCTCGTATATTTCAGTAGGAATTCCATCATTAACACTATTAATATTTATTATTACTAAAAGTATGAATTTTTGTGGCAATTCAATAAAACACCATGCAACCTCAGTTGGCACCAATCAACAAATCGAGGGGGGCCAATTCGAGGATTTATGGTAGCAGTGGGGCTTTTTCGATGGGGGGGGGGCTTATTGACAAAATTTGTAGTTCTAGGGTGCGGGCTTTTTCAAGGAGTTACGGTATCTATATCCATATATAATGAAAATTACTGTTTACCAATCTGACATGACACTCTTGATGCCGTATAGGCAGAGCCCTAGATTTCTTTGGTTTATAGAACAGGACAGTTCTAATCTAAGTTGCTACTTCGAGTTTTACGCTAAATTCCATCGTCGGGCACAAAGCGTATATGCATGTCTGCATTCATATCTAAATTTATCTATGTTGTGGGCTGCAACTTAGAACCATCCTGTTCTAGACGCCAAAAGCGTATACCTATGTCTGTGTCTATGTCTATGTTTATTTTTATGTCTATGTCTATGTTTTATTTTTAAGTCTATGTCTATGTCTGTGTTTATTTTTATGTCTGTGTCTGTGTCTATGTTTATTTTTATGTCTATCTCTATGTCTGTGTTTATTTTTATGTCTATGTCTGTGTTTATTTTTATGTCTATGTCTATGTTTTATTTTTATGTCTGTGTCTATGTCTATGTTTATTTTTATGTCTCTGTCTATGTTTTATTTTTATGTCTATTGTTCTTATGTTTATTTTATTCTTTCTTTAGTGTTTCTCGTGTGTGTGAGTATGGTAGTAACTTGTTTTTCTGCGGGCCGAAACC